TTATTATTATTATTATTATTATTATTATTATTATTATTATTATTATTATTATTATTAAGACAAGTGGACTCACTTTGTAGAATTCTTTGCTAGCTAGGGAATTCTGGGAGTTGAAGTCCGCACAAGGTTGAGAAAACACTGGCTTATACACTTGAGTTCAAATTTGCCTAATTCCAGTGCCCAGTACATGCTTTTGAGATATATGATGACTGCCTGGTCTACAAGCTAGCCAATGTTTTGTCTTCCGTTGTTTTTTCTGTAAAGAGTTATCCTCCTCCAGACCTGCCAAGAGACTACAGACCAATCCATTACTTTCGACCTGTGATAAAAGCTACCGGTGAAAATTCCCACTTAGTGCAAGCATTGGCAGAATCCACAGGGAAGCTTCAGAGTGATACAGCATTCCAAAGTCGACACCAGAAAACTGCTTCTGAGAGAAGGGAAGTGCTGGGCGAAACTGAACTGAAAGGTATCCAATATCCTGATGTTACCTTGAATGATGCAGGTCCTCTAGTTCAGGGGTCCTCAACCCCCGGTCTGTGGACCAGCACCGGGGCGCAGCATGCCAGAAACCGGTCGATTGTTGTTGTTAGTTGCGAAGTCGTGTCCGACCCATCGCGACCCCATGGACAACATTCCTCCATGCCTTCCTGTCCTCTACCATCTTCTGGAGTCCGTTGAAGCTCACGCCTACTGCTTCAGTGACTCCATTCAGCCACTTCATTCTCTGTCGTCCCATTCTTTTATTGCCCTCCATCTTTCCCAGCATCAGGCTCTTCTCCAGTGAGTCCTTCCTTCTCATTAGGTGGCCAAAGTACTTGAGTTTCAACTTCAGGATCTGGCCTTCTAAAGAGCAGTCGGGGTTGATCTCCTCTAGGACTGACCGGTCCATGCAAACAAGCAAAGACTCATCCATGGGATGCAGGCAGCATGCGTAACCATGCTGCCTCCGGTCCACAAAAAAACCCCTCTCTACATGTTGGGGGCCGCTGCTCTACCTGCAATCTCTATAATCATTTTGTTCTGACTATTTTTTGCAGGCATTTTTGGTTGTTTTTTTAATTTATTTTTTTTAATTTAAGTATATCTTTATACATGTATATATGTAATTTGATTTATTGGAAAATGGGGGCTTTTGTTTTGTTTAAACAAGGCAAAACATTCCTGATTGCACTATGTTCTCAACTAAAAAAAAAAAGTTAGTTGTTTGCCATAGTTCTATATCATGATTTTCTCTTCTTGTTTAGGCCCCACCACTTCTGTTCTAGAATATTTGTCAGATAAAGACAAAGAGAGGATCCAAGAAGCGAAACAGGCAGTACAGCAACAACGGAAAGCTGACACTGTGCCTCAACAATCCGCCTATAACAAATTCCGAGCGCCTCCTGTCTCTCATATGCCACAGAAGTACCAATTGATGCTGGGGTCCCAGTTAGCTACAACTGGCTCGGCCGACTTCAAACCATTTGCCAGCAACCCAGAAAAGCAAAAGAGATATGAATGTTACTTAGAAAATCTTGCACATGGAAAGAAAGGCAAGTAGCAAAAGTGTCCCCAGCTCTTTTCTTCATCTATCACATATATATATTCAAAATTTTGTAGCCGACAAAGAGTTAAAGGGAGACTAATATACCTATTTCGAGCTATTTAGCTCTCATCAGTTAGTCATATTCTTCTGAGATTTAAACCTGGGCAGCTTGCACGTTAGGCAGCTGTATTAACCTCTAGGCCACAGGTTCTCCTCACTTCGGTCAGCAGAAACCAGGGACGATATATATATATATGTATGTTGGGTGAAGCACCCGGTCTACCAAATATAGGACAAAGCAATCTACTACTGCTTTTTCGCTCCTTATATATAGAATTCTGGGAGTTGAAGTCCACAAGTCATGTTGGGTGAAGCACCCGGTCTACCAAATATAGGACAAAGCAATCTACTACTGCTTTTTCGCTCCAGTCTAGGAGCATTTTTGCAGGCAGACGTCAGTACTGCGACAACTGTAAATTGAAAATTTTGTAGCCGTTGAAGTCCACAAGTCATAAAAGGGCCAAGTTTGAAGACTCCTGCTATAAACAGTTTCATTCTTTTCTGTTCAATATTATTGAGCCAGTATTATTGACCTTGCTTGCTTTTTAAATTTTTCTTGCCTGACAGATGTGCCAGAAAGCAGTTTAGATTCCGGTATGACGGAGTGGGAGCGTGGTAGAGAACGGGACGAGTTCTCTCGGGCTGCTGCGTTCTACAAAACCTCCAGCTCCATTTTGTCTTCAAGGTTTACTCCTGCAAAGTTGGAGGATGATATTGATAAAGTAGACGTTCCTCGTGATGAAGAGGTAAGTCCCCAAGTTATCTGGAAGTCGTGGAGCTGGGTTGATTTTCAATCATTCTAAGAGCACCAATTCCTTTCACGATCGCCCTGAAACAAGTGCTAGAGTCCACACAACACATAGTTAAGCCCTAATGTAGTTTCTTTCATTCTAACTGAATATGTTGTGTGAACACAACTTGTGCTTTATTAAAATAAAACCATGGTTCAAAATTAGTTTAGCAGGAATGTGAACCAGGCCAATTTTTTTTTTTAAAAAAGACCGTCAACAGCTGTGCTTAACTCTCAAGTCAGTTATTGCCAAAATATATGTGTGTTGTTGCTGTTGTTATTTTAGACCAACCTTGATGACAAAACAGCTGCTGCAAAGATGAAGATGTTCGGAAAACTCACAAGGGAAAAATTTGAGTGGCACCCAGATAAGCTTTTGTGCAAAAGGTTTAATATCCCTGATCCCTACGCAGAGTAAGTTGGTTGAGTACATCGGCATTTTCTAACAAGTAGACTTGGGTCATCATTTTATACAGGTAGTCCTCGACTTTACGACCACAATTGAGCCCACAAATTCTGTGGTTAAGCGAGTTTTGCTCCATTTTACGACCTTTCCCACCACATTTGTTAAGTAGTTAAGTTAGTAACACGGTTGTTAAGTGAATCGGGCGTCCCCATTGACTTTACCTGCCAGAAAATTGCTAAAGGGGGATCATGTGATCCCAGGACACTGCGACCGTCATAAATGTGAGTCAGTCGGCAAGCCTCTGAAGTTTGATCACGTGACCACAGGCGTGCTGTAAGGGTCGTAAGTGTGAAAAACGGTCACTTTTTTCAGTGCCGTTGTAAACAAGCTATTGTAAGTCAAGGAATATCTGTAGTTGGCTAGTAGAAGTGATCAGGAAAATGTAAATTAAATCTAGTAAGTATTGTCTAGACCGCCTTGGTTATTTAGTTACATATATTTGTTTATAGACTATAATCCCTCAACAGTACATTTTAAAATGCTATTTCATTTCTATACTTCTGACCTATTTTAACAAACACATATTTCTGTAGCAGAAAAATTACCCAAAGTTGGATGCGGACACTCTGCTTTCATTTTTCACCAGGTCATGTATTGTTGGGTTGCCGACAGTGAAACGTGATAAGTATTCTGTGTTCAACTTCTTGACTGTTGCTTCAGAGTCGGCATTAGAGATGCGAAGTCAGCCGATGAAAACAGGAGTGCAGCAGGATAATATTCCCAACAGTAAGATTTTTAATTTATCAGAAAAAAAAAAAAAGAATCGTATCTCTTCGGGACCTGGATCAAGATAACTTGGCCGGTCAAAGTGTACAGATCAAAAACACAGTAAAAAAAAAACATTTGTGGGGCTGGCCCCGAGGCTCAGACTAGCTGGGGAGAAATAACATGAATGTCTAGATGAGCATTTGGCCCGTAGATTTAGAATTCCTAATGATCAAAGGCAGCTTTCCTTAACAACGGGAGCTATAAAAGAAATAAAACTGTATGGAACTCATCAAGAAAGGGTGATGGCCCCTTGGAAATGTGTTCATTTCTTTCAGAGCCAAAGAAGTCATCCAGATGGGACGTGCCCGACAAAGAGAAGAAGGAGGATACCATCAGTGAATTTATAACTTTGGCTCGATCAAAAGTTGATGTCCATGTGCAGGAGCAGCCTCCCACAGCAGTTGAAGCAAAGGCTGGTGACCTTGTTCCTGCTCAGGTAGAGTGGCTTTGGTGTCTCTGTTATCTTGAAGGCATGGGGGGGGGGACTTTCAAGCATATGCCAAACCATCAAGGGGCATGTATGATGGACTTGGCTGAATGAATTGGTCGCTACAATATTCTCAGGAGATGGGATAGGCCAGTGATGGCGAACCTTTTAGAGCAGTGGTTCTCAACCTTTTTAATGCCGCGACCCCCAACTGGTCGTAAGTCGAGGACTAAACCGGTCGTAAGTCGAGGACTACCCGACCGGTCGTAAGTCGAGGACTTTCCCTGCCCGGGAGCGCCGCGCATGCGTGGTTTCGCCCCCTGCGCTGGCCGAGGCGTAGCTGGCAAGCGGCAGAGACGGAACAGGCCGACCACCAGCTGGCCCAGCTCAAGGGAGGTAAGGCACCCGCCGGAAAAGGGGAAAAAAATGGCGGACAGCCTTGCTTGGCGACCCCCGTGAAATGGTCGATCGACCCCAAACAGGGTCGCGACCCATAGGTTGAGAACTGCTGTTTTAGAGACCGAGTGCCCAAACTGCAATCCAAACCCCACTTATGCATCGTCGAGTGCTGGGTGGGTGTGGCCCATTGGGTGGGCGTGGCTGCGGTGGTAACGGCAGACTGGGTGGGACTAAAAAGTTCAATCAATCAATTCCAACTTTGCAAGATCTTTTTTTTCCCGCGAGAAGTTGAAATTGACTGATTGAACCTTTTTTTTTTTTTTGCACACGGCGGCGGAGGCCTAAAGCGAAAAGTTTTATAAAACCCAGCTGAAGGCCTAAGACTGGGGCGACGGTGCGCGTGCCCACAGAGAGGGCTCTGAGTGCTGCCTCTGGCACCTGTGCCATAGGTTCGCCACCACTGGGATAGGCTATCCTCATGCGTTTCTCAAAAATAGAAGCCCTGAAACAGTCGAGACTCAGGTGACAATTTACTAAAAGAATACAGCGCAGGAGCAATTTTACATGTATCCATAGAAATATCTTTATCACGGTGCCACACATTTTGCATTTAAAAATTAAAACACAGCTGGGTTTCGGAAGTGCAGAATGCATGTTTTAATTTGCCCTGAAGTTAAGTTGAAACTGTAGATGAATGAAACGTACATTTCTCATAGTTTTGATTTCCATACTCTGCAAAGTACGAAATGTATACTATGGTGTGTTGTTTGTTCAACCGGACCAGGGGTTAACCACATTGAGAGGCCATTAATAAATCTTGCAAGAGTTTCATCATCCTTAACTATCCGCTCACAGCGTGTAGAATGCAGAATTCTCAGTTACTTAAAATAAAATACAAAAGTGTGTATGTGTGTGTGTGTGTAAATAAATACTAAGATATCTAGGAGGGGCTAGAATCAATCCTACAGCTACTCAGCTTACTGACTTAGCTGTGTTGCTAGAGTTTAGATCAGGGATAGGCAACCTTGGCTCTTTTATGACTCGTGGGCTTCAACTCCCAGAATTCTTCAACAGTCTTGCTCCTGGTTACGGTTTAACTTGGCGGAGAAGTGCCTTATTTCTTTTTCACTTTTCCCTTTGTGGTTCAGCCATCAGGCCCACCCACTGGCCCAAGTGAAGCTGCAGAGGAAGAAGGGAGCCGGCCCTCCATGGATTTATTTAAAGCCATCTTTGCCAGTTCCTCGGACGAGAAGTCTTCTTCCGAAGAAGAGAGTGATGCAGAGGAGCCCGTTACAACAGCACCGGAAGGAGAGTCTGAAAACACCAAGCCTTGTGACTCACCTGGGGTTCCATTACCTGTTGCTAAAGGTATTACTGGCTCCCCCTCCCACCATTAAAAACCAGACGCATCCTCTGATATATGACGCTTTGTATAATCACTGCCACTTTGGGACAAGCCTAGTTTACTGCTATATTTGAACGAGCTAAAGAGTTTGAATTTCCCCTCGAAACCAGCTTTAAAAGTTGAAGGTTGAAGCTGCTATGCCTTTGCAACTTTGTGCTGCAGGCAGCCCTCGTTTGCTGGCAGTAATTGGGACTGCGAACTCTTCTTGTTAAGCGGTATGGTAGTAAGAACGACGACATGTGATCGGGCTGACTTACAGTGGCAGCCCCAGTTGCCATCGCTGGGCGACTCCGATAGTCACGGCATCCTATGGTCACATGGTTGCCATTTGCGACTTCCTGCCAGCTTCCCCATTGACTTTGCTTGTTGGAAAGTAGCAGCGAAGGTTACAAACAGATCACATGACCACAGGGAGGCCACAAAGACCACAATTAATGAGGAGCCCTCGTAAGCCCTCCTTATTCAGTGTTGTAATTTTGGTTGCTGAATGTGTGGACATTAAAAAAAGGACCTTCCAACCAATCAGTTTGCCCTTATAGCTTAGCAGTTTGCAATAGCCACAAAAGAGGCCGTTAACGGAAGTAATTGAGGGCGTTGGGGAGCACAATGCTCATTCCTTGTGGTGTCACAGTGGTTTGATACACTGGAGCGGTCTCCCCAGAAGTTTGAAGCCATTTTATGTGGCCTTGAAGTCCTTGATTAAAACCCCAAGTCTTCAAGATAGTTGTAAATAAGGAAAAGATGCTGGGATGTGGGAATAAGTCCGTACACGTGTATTGTGACTTATAACAGCCTTTATGGTATCTCGGCCTTTAAACGGACTAATAGGTCAGTGGGCTGTATAAAGTGATTAGGTTGGCTTTTAAACATCGCCAATGTTTATTGTTTTTTCTCAAAGAAACTGAAGTTTTTGCACCTGAGACTTTTGATACTGTGACTCCAACCTCGAAGGAAGTAGTCAATCAAGAAGAATTTGGGCCAAGATTGCCTCCTGTTGCTTATTCTGGTAAAGACATTTATTAGCTGTTAAAATGTGAATGGCGTTTATATTGACTTTTTTCATTTTAAAAGTATTGCACACAGGAATTTATTGGCTGTTGATCTTTTTTGGTTTCATGAGCTACAGAATCCTATAGAAACAAGCTGATCGCACAGAATATTTTTTTTTATTAAAATTCTTAATTTAATTAAGGTAGATTCCTAAAAATGTGCTCAAGCCAACACAAACTAATGGAAAACAAGGAAGGGAAAAAAATCAGCAAAAGTGCCAGAAGAGGGAAAAAAAGATTTAAAAAAATAGAAGAGAAAGAAAAAAAATACAAAAAATGGCTTCCTGTGTTCCTTTTAGCTATATGTATAATTACAAATTTACCTCTTTCTCTAAAGTTACATCATGACTCTCTTCTGTGTGTAATCTATCTTGTCTATCATCTAATCATCATTTGTCACAAGTTCACTTCTTTTTCATTTTTACACAAAAAGTCCCATCAGAGGTTTCCAAGTCACCAATAAATATAGATAATGTCTTTTAAGTTACCAGTTTAAGCAATTTACAGTACGAGGGTTCTTCAGTGTTCAGAGCTTGGTTGATTTGTTTTGCAGACATTTCATTACCCAAACATTTATTACCCAACTAAGTAACCCTTCATTTCAACCCTGAGCTATTCTCCTCTATCAATTTATGCATTTCAACAAAATCTGCCATCTTCACCAAGTGTTTCTCCAGAGTGGGTGGTGTTAAATCTTTCCATCTCCTGTTTGTTGTTCCGGAGCATAGTTATATATTCACTAAAAATGCAACCGAGACTTGTGTAAATAGATCAGGGGTTTGCATCAAGAAATTCAGAAAGACGCTATTCTCGGAGAATCCAAAATAATAATTCAGCAGCTTCTGAATCGCTTTCAGTGCATCCTCCTTCAATAGTTCTTCTGTCTCTGACGAATGTTTTAGGCACAGCTGAAGCGGTTGCGGAACAGAAACCCCAAAAGATCAAAGAAAAACACAGAAGAAAAGAACACAGACACAAAAAGGAAAAGGTAATCTTGATGTTTATTTTTAACCTTTTTTTCTCCTCAAAATCATTGTCGGGTTCTCTTATAAAGCCTGTTTTCCCAATGGAGAAGGAATTTCATATCTATTTTACATTCAAAACAGAGTTGAAGGGCCTTGGAGATCTTCTAGTCCAACCCTCCCTCCTTGTTTAGAGTCATGTATATGAAATGGGTGGCCGTCTACCTTTAAATAATAAATAAAAATATATTACCATTACTTCCAGAGTCTACTGTTGAGACTCTAGAAATAGAGTGCAGAGAAAAGCAGCAAAGATGATTTGGGGACTGGCTAAAACATGTGAAATACGGTTGCAGAAATTAGGCATGTCTCGTTGAATGAAATCAAATATTTTGGCCACCTAATCAGAAGGAAGGACTCACTGGAGAAGAGCCTGATGCTGGGAAAGATTGAAGGCAAGAGAAGAAGGGGACGACAGAGAATGAGGTGGCTGGATGGAGTCACTGAAGCAGCAGGCGTGAGCTTAAATGGACTCCAGAAGACGGTAGAGGACAGGAAGGCCTGAGGGAACGTTGTCCATGGGGTCGCAATGGATCGGACACAACTTCGCCACTAACAACAACAACAAAGTTGAATGAAAAGAGGAACTAAGGGTGACATGATAGCAGTCTTCCAATATCTCAGGGGTTGCCCCAAAGAAGAGGTAGTCAAGCTGTTCTCCAAAGCACCTGAAGGTAGGACAAGAAGCAACGGATGGAAACCAATCCAGAAGAGAAGCAACCTAGCACACAGGAGAAACTTCCTGACAGTTAATCAGTGGAATGAATGACTTGCCTTCAGAAGTTATGGGAGCTGCCTCAACGGAGGTTTTTAAGAAGAAATTGGGCAGCCATTTGTCTGAAATTACACAGAGTCTCCTGCTTGAGCAGGGGTTGGAATAGAAGACCTCCAAGGTCCCTTCCAACTTTGTCCTTCTGTTTTTCTTTTTTGCAGAAAAAGAAGCACAAGAAATCCAAGCACAAGGGAAAGCATAAGAACAAGAAATCTGATAAGAACAGCAGCTCAGACACAACAGAGAGCAAAGACAGCAGCAGCGAGGAAGAAAAGGCGGATATACCACCCCGGGAACTTTTAAGAAGGTAAGTAGGCAAAGAAAGTCAATGTTTTTATTGTATGCAGATGGACATTTTTCTTTGTTTTTAAAGGAAGGAAACATTTGCATGAAAGAAAAAGTGCCTATTGTTTCTACATTGCTTTTTCTAATCTTCTGAATGGTTGACTGGATTCTGAAGTCACAAGATCTAACCCAGGGGTAGGCAACCTTGGCTCTTTTATGACTCGTGGACTTCAACTCCCAGAATTCCTGAGCCAGCCATGCTGAGGGGAAAGGGAGAGGTTTCCAAGCTGAGCCATGCTGGCTCAGGAATTCTGGGAGTTGAAGTCCACGAGTCATAAAAGAGCCAAGGTTGTCTACCTCTGGCCTAGGCCTAGGCCGCTTTATGACTCGTGGACTTCAACTCCCAGAATTCCTGAGCCAGCCACATTGAGGGAAAAGGGAGAGGTTTCCAAGCTGAGCCATGCTGGCTCAGGAATTCTGGGAGTTGAAGTCCACGAGTCATAAAAGAGCCAAGGTTGCCTACCCCTGATCTAACCCAATGTTTCTCAACCTTGGCCACTTCAACTTTTGTGGACGTCAATTCCCAGAATTCTGGGAGTTGAAGTCTACATATCTTCAAGGGGCCATGGTTGAAGAAACACTGGTCTGTCGTCTCTCTCTCCAGTTCGCCAACATTTAGGAAAAGTAGGTTTAAAGGAATCGAGTTCCCTAATGCTGCTTTGTACCAAAAATGACAAATGTTTTTTGTTCTCATACCTGGAAATTCTAATTCAAAATTGGGTGCATCTGGCTTTACACATCATACTGAAGCCTAACCCAATCCTCACATTATTGTTTAATACAACGTGTGACTCTAATGTCTTGCCACATGGATGCTTATCCAAGACAGAGCCATGGGGGTCAAGGTCTCCAGAAAACCTGGTCCATACTCAATAATCAACTTTTTTATTTATCTTAAAACTCAGTAGCATCGGCTGGAGTGATTTAAAAAGTGGAGGGCACAGCAGTGCAAGTGAAGGATTTATAAAGAGTCAGGTCACGTGCACGGTGTAAAAATTAAATAATGCTGCCGTGATTGCCATCTTAAGGGATTTTTTTGGTTCCCTATTGGAGATCGTACTGTCCCCAAGGTAGAACATTATGGGATTGTCAGTACACTGCTGATTCAACTCCCATTAATATAGGAAGGTAATTTAAAGAACTGGGAGATACAGTATTGCCAAGAAGATGTCAATCTTTTCTTCCAGTCTGAAGACAAGCTACAGATACTTGAAACTTGCTTGAAATTGATCAGAGCAGGGAGATGGATTTTTTTATACATGATATTATGTTCCAAGATTACCCTAACGGTGTCAAATCTACTTAATTTAATTATTTCATTTTCTTGGTGGGATTATTCTGAATTAATTGCATATAAAGTGGCAGCCTAAAAAAATTATTTAAGAGAGTAAAATGGTTTGACATTATTGTTAGATGATTTTTTTTCCTCCTGTGAATTATATGATCTCTTCTTTGCAGGAGGGTGTCTTTCCGGCGGCCCTTAAAGAGGCCGTTGTGAGGCCCCTCCTCAAGAAGCCGTCCCTGGACCCAGATGAGTTGGCAAGTTATCGCCCAGTCTCCAACCTTCGCTTTGCGGCGAAGGTTGTTGAGAGTGTGGTTGCACGGCAATTCCCTCGGCATCTGGATGAAACAGTCTATCTGGACCC